CACTTAGCCCCTAGTGTTTGCAGGAGGTGGCTTTTTCAGAAGGAAACTAAAGAAAAGAAGCCTGTTACCTGCAGTGGCTGATCAGAGACTTGTTTTTTTGCTGAGTTACCAAGAAAGAGTAAAGAGTCCACCTTCCCTGCAGCAGCAGAACCCTGACCTCTCCCACCTAGTGGTGGATCATAGTTAAAGCTGTATTGCCATTTATTGTTATGGGAAGAGGAATGTGACCAAAGGGAAATCAGCCTGGGCTATTCGGGGGAAACTGTTTTAAAGTGTTATAACCAGATAAATGTAATCATTGAGGTTGTTTGATGCAAGTGGGACCACCCAGTGTGGTGGAATTATTCATGTTTCAATTGTAAATTCTAGTCAAATTGTTCATTTTATTATTAAGTATAGATATATATTATTCTTCTCTTGATTTAATAATTTCTGTATATAGTTGTGTATAATAAATAAACCCATTTTTTATTGGACGTAAAGTAAATTCTTAGGCAGTGAGGACACACTTCTCCAAAGGGACACCTCAGTCAGCAGACCTGCCTGAGGGGGTTCCCAGGGCTACTGGCACCCTGAGGATCCAGAATCCAGCATATCGCCCAGCCTACATTTCAAAGTGATCATTCAACATACTACAGCTCTCAACTGTCACTTAAGACAAAGTTTTCAAAAGTGACTAATCAATCTGCACACCCTGCTGATTGCAGATGTGATTTCAGAGGCTTGCTGCTCAGCACTTTCCTAAAATCTATGCCCCTTTAAGGTCTCTGATTGGACAGCCAAAAACTGAAGCACATAATGTCACTACTCACTACTGAAAATCTAGGCGTTTTGCAAGAACATTTCTCCTTATAGTAGTCAGGACTGCAGTGGATAACACTGAGTTTAATTACAGATATTACTGATTCCTCTGTCAGGGCAGGGGTGCTACATCCCCAAGCCCACTGACTAGATCTGGCCTGCTGAGTCACATAATCCTGCCCACATCTCCCCATGTATCTGGAAATTCTGGGCTGGGGAGCAGTGACAATTAACACTGCCACTGATCCCTTTCCCCCAGAATGCCAGGCCCCCTACAGCTGCATCAGGCCCTGCTGGCCCTGTTTGGGGGAGGGGGAGTCAGGCCCTGTTCCTGCATGACTGGATTGAGCCAGAGCCTGATGCAGTCACATAGAAATTGCCTGGCCAGGATCTGGCAGCTCAATATAGCCTCGAGGAAGCAGCCTGACCAGGGCCTGATACAGCTATGAAGGGCCCAGCTGGGCACAGTGCAGCTATGTAGGATGGCCAGGCTGGGCTGTTCCTGTGCGGCTGCATTGTCCCCAAGTAGGACATTCCTGCATTGGCCCCAAGTAGGCCATCAGGCTACAGCCCCGCACAGCTGCACTGGCCTTGGCTGGGCTAGCGCTGCACACTGGATTGGGCCCACAGCCAATCTGGCCTGCAGATGGCACCATTCATCTGGTCCATGAGTGGGAAAGGTTAGGCACCACTGGGTTAGGGAGTAGCCTTTCCAATTTCTAATCCTGGTTGTGTTTCAGTGATGCAGAGAATGTGTTTATTTTTGAGTGTGTGTGGAGACAAACCAATAGAAATCTCTGAGCAATGTCTTTGGTGTTGTCTGTTCATTTAAATGTTGTGAAAAACGTTTGAAAATGAATATGAAACTTGATGCTTTACCTGAAAACTGTATCACAAACTGGTATTTCACATATCCTTGCTTACCTGATAGTATTTCTTTTAAGTAAGGCAACTTTTACTGTGATTTGTTTAAAAAAAGTCTCAACTAAATGAACAGCAGACCCCAGGCTGAAGATACCATGCCCCTTCACTTTCAGAGGGAAGCTAATTGTTGCTAGGCTAAGGAGTACTATAAATCATAAATATCAGTTTTTATACAGCCAGCACTAATCTTGGAAGTATGAAAATTATCCGCAAACATGGTTTAACTAATTTCCCTTTCAGATCTCTCCAAAATTGAACAGGAAGGCCATTATTTAATCTAGTTGTCTGGTGCACACCCACGGAGCCAGCACTGGTATAGTTCCTTAGGAACTGACAGCAGCTGTGTTAGCTTAAACAAAAGCTCTCCATGATACTTATCTTTTTTTACTTGGCACCAGCCTTTGTATTACTATATATGGGGAGGGGTGGGGTCTAACATTTGGAGTGGTTGCATTTAAGTATGGCAAGTATTTAGGAGGCTTGTACAAAAAGATCGTGTTGCATAACTTTTTTTTCAGTAAGATCAATTTTCTTAGTGTTTTACTTATTTTCTTTTCATCGATATTTAAGAGTATTTTAAGTATAAGGAATATTCCAAATCTCTATGGAACAAAAACTAATCTGCAAAGTAATTTGGAGAGAGAGATATTTATTAAGTAAAACTGGGATTTAATTTTCTTTCATACATAATTACAAAAAAATTCTCAACTGTGTATCATCTCTTAATGGTTTAAGTTAGAAAGGGTCCTGGTGAAAAATAGTGATGTTGTAAAATTTTTAAAAACTACAGCAAAAAAGCTGTTCAAACCCAATTACAGTTTGGGTGAGAGGAAATGTAATTCCTAGAACACAGAACCTACTTAACAGTAGTTTTTACATGATCATCTTTAAACTAGCTACTATAGTTGTGGGTGTTTAATTACGCAATAAATCTGTCATTCATTTTTTAAATTGTACTTTGCTCTTGGTCTCAAGACAATAATGTCTCGTGGCAGTGAGTTCCACAGGTTAGATTCATAGATTCATAGATGTAGGTTGGAAGAGACCTAAGTAGATCATAAACTCCGACCCCCTGCCCTGGGCAGGAGAGAATACTGGGTTCATATGACCCCAGCCAGGTAATTGTCAAGCCTCTTCTTAAAGACCCCCAAGGTAGGAGCTAGCACCACTTCCCTTGGAAGTTGGTTCCAGATCCTAGCCGCCCTGACTGTGAAATAGTGCCTTCTAATGTCTAGTCTGAACCTACTCTCAGACAACTTATGGCCATTATTCCTGTTACTCCGGGAGGTGCACAGGTGAACAGGGTCTCTCCCATTCCCCGCTGGTCCCCCCCATGGTGTTAATTGTACACCATATTAGGAAAAAAAAAACCCTTAAAACAATAACAATGCGACATTTTGTTGGTTTTTGTTTAATGTACTTTTCATTTCTTTTTTTAAAATTGATAGGAGGTATGCTCAAATTTCTTTCCTATGCTGTTCATTATTCTACATCCCTCTTTCATGGCCCTCATTTACTGACTACTCTATATACCCACTCTTGTTAGTTGTTTCTGCTCAAACCATTGCTAATACTGGTTGATTGTATTTGATATGTGAGGGGGAGGGGAGACTAAGCATACTGTTCGAATGGGAAGTGTACCACAGCTTATTCTAGACTGCACAATACTTTCAGTATTTGGACCCTATTTTTTACATATCATCACATTTTGTTTGCTTTTTGAGATCACTTTTGCATATTGAGTAGTTTTCATTTTCCTATTCTCCCCCAACTAGTCTCTTTTCTTGGTGGAAATTTGGAACTGAGCAGTATATATGGACACTTCAGATATTCCCTCTAGGGTGTATTTATCTTGAATTTGTCAACAGGGAATTTAATTTCTTCTGAATCTGCATACTTGCCTAGTTTTGTCTGAAGTGCCTTAATCTTTAGCTAATGTCTACTCTGTGACAGCACTTCACTTCATCAAAGGGTTCTGAATATCTAAGCAAATTATAACAATTAGTTTTCCTTTATCTTTTGCTTTTTGACCTGTTCAAAGTATTAAACAGATTAGTGGAGCATGATTTTCTTTTGTGAAAGCTATGTTGGTCAGACACTGTTATGTTTAAACATCTAGGTGTTTTGCAGGTGTTTTTTCAAGCTCACTTTTAAACATTTTACTTTAAGTAAAGTCCACCTTAGTGCCTTTAAAGATAGATAAAGCAATGTCTGCTCTCCTTTCATCCTCCAGGAAAATATTTCATCCCAAAGTAGATTGTTAGCAGTTCGGCTACTTTATTAGGTCCTTTCTAAATTATGACTCATTGCTCTTTAAATTTATCATTCTGTTCAAGTGCTCTGTTCTTTTGACATCTCAGATAACATCACTTGATCTTTATTACCTGAAAAACCAAACTGTAAGGCATCTTCCTGTGTTCTAGATAAATGCTGAGCACAAAATTAGGAATCAGGTGTACTAAATTCTAATCCTGGCTCTGATAGATTTGCTATGTGTATTCAGACAATGCAATTAATCTTTCTGCTTCATTTTCCCCATCTGCAAAATGAGTGTAAATACCTTTTAGAGATATTAGGAGGACCAATAAGTCAATATTTATAAATGATCTGAACCTGTGAAGTGCACAAGAATGCTGGTATTACTGCCCACATTTTAGAATTCCCATTTCATCCTATTCTATCCCAGTGCAATGGGCCTATGCTGAGTCCTATAGATACTTTTAATGTTCTCCCCACTTAGCTTTTAATGTTGTTAAGTTCCCTGTAGGGCCTTACAGCAGTCCTGCATAATAGGTTGAATATCATAGTGCAGAACTATGTAAAACTGACTTTTATTAGCCTAAGCATCAGTTTAAGTGTCTGGATGCAAGATTTGCCACCCTAATTAGGGGTTCATATTGGAAAATGAGCCACAGTAAATCATTGCCAGTGGAAAAGGAATATTTTATGGCCAGAGGAGACTGTTTCCACATAAATTTTACAGATGTCTTGAATTTTAACTAAAAGCTATAAGTAATGCTTGTTTAATTATTAATACCGAAATCTAAGAATAGTTGAAATCCACCTTCCTCTAATCCTTACCAAGACCATTTAAAACTGCCCTTGAGGGTTCCATTTAATAGGCATTGAAGGCAGATGCTGCTGTTCTTCAGAAGCATGCCTGAACCATTTTATTTGAGCAGAATTGTTAATAGGGTGAAGAAGCCTCTTCTGTGCACATTCCTCCAGACTATTCTGGTTTTCTGAGTCCACTTTATTTTGCCTTTCTTCTCCAGGTCAGAGGTCATGAAGCTCCAGCTTCCTTCTAGAAGCAGCAAAGAGCAGAATGAGGGGGCAGCATTACCAGACAGAAAACTCTGTTTATCTGTTGTACATCAAGATCGAGGATCGCCTGCTGGAGGGGCAGGGATTTCAGAGAACGGTATTGAGAATTTATATAATTAGAGCAGAATTCCAAGCTGTTTTATTTCCTCAGTGTTTTGTCAGATTATCTGCAGAAATGCTTTAATCTTTTACGGATTTTGAACAATTTATAAGATAATCATAATGAATCTTGAAACCTTGTCATTAAACAAAACTTCAGTTCCCCTCACTCCCCTCAAAAATCTTACTACATCCCATATAACTAAGGATTTACTTTTTCAACAGAATTCATTGGGCCACAGAGTCTCTTTTTTCCACAGGTTATTAGGATAAAGTCGGAGTCAATTCAAAAGAAGCCATTCACAGTTAATATAACAGAAAGTCCCACTCCTTGGACACAGTCTTACCTTTTCTGTAATCCTGAGAGCTCCAAATGACTTGGTACAGTGGTGCTCAAACTTTTGGCTGCTGGGCCAGATGAGCAGTACCTGATCTGTCCTCAGGCCGGATCCAACCAGGGTTCCCAAACTGGCATCAGGGGTGGTCACAGTGGGACCCCAGCCTGGCCATACAGAGGGGAGGGAGCTCACCCCAGCTCCAATCTGGACCCATGGGGCCGGGGTGTGGTTTGGCCTTGAACCAGCCACAAGGGAAGAGTATGTTGCCCTACCCCAATCCAAGCAGGGTGGGAGGGTAGAGGGGGGAAGGGGTTGTGGCCCAGCCCCAGTCCAGCCACAGAGAGGGGAGGGGACATGGACCAGCCCCAGTCCATCTTCATGGGGGGGAAAGGGGACATGACATAGTGCCAACCTGCCAAACAGGGTTTGAGATTTGGGAATTTGGTAGCGGGGGAGGGTGGCCTTATTAATTGCCATCACTCCCCTGCCACCAAATTACCCAGCTTATGGGCCAGAGACTGGATCTGCAAGCTGCATTTGGCCTGCGGGCCAGAGATCAAGTACCACTGGCTTAGTACACGTAACACTAGCTACTGCCAAAAGGATGCTTTTCTGTTGCAATTTCCATAGGATTACATGTAGCACCTAAAATCATCAAGTCTCCTAAGCTTGGCTCCTTTTAATTATTAGCCATACAGAATACCAGTGGAGTGGAGAATTAGAGAGACTCTGGAAGGGATGATGTTTTTGGCTCATTTAAATACTGTAGTGATGAGAGCCATCTATGAAAGCTGTTTTAGCATTCAAAGGTCTCAGTTACTGATAATGGCCTAAATGGAAAACCCAGAGTGTGAATTTTGGTATAGATCAACACATCTATGATCTAATGAAGATGAAAATTTAAATCCTGTTTCACCTTTATTTGTCTAAGTGGCACATAGGTGTCTGCATAACAGGAATTTTTGGCACGTAATCACATTATTTTCTGAAAGTATCTTTGTATTTGTAATCTGAATTGAGCACAGCATTTTTTTGGTACAACCAAACTGGCCAGCCTAGGGCTACTCAGAAAGCTTTGTGATAGTAACCCTAAATTGAATGGAGAAACATAGGGCATCACGACTCCTGGGTAGTGAACTGAGTACTTCTGAAGTGGCATGCCGATTATTGTTTTCAGAAGGGGAGTTGGCATGTCACATTGTATAACACCTTTTCCAGAAGTCCAAAGAGAAGTGCTTAAAGTCTGCAAATGCAGTCCCATCTAGTTCTTTCATAGACTCATAGAAAATTAGATTTGGACAGGACCTCAGGAGGTCATCTTGTCCAACCTGCTGCTCAATGCAGGACCATCCCCAACTGTATCACCCCAGCCAAGACTTCGTCTAGCTGGGTCTTAAAAACCTCCAAGGATGGAGACTTCACGGCCTCTCTGGGTAACTTGTTCCAGTGTTTTATTACCTGCCCAATGAGAGTTTTCTTTAACATCTAACTTAAGCTTCCCTTGCTGCAACTTGAGTCCACTGCTCCTTGTTCTATCATCTGCCACCACTGAGAACAGTCTAGCTCCATCCTCTTTGGAACTTCCCTTCAGGTAATTGAAGGCTGCTATTAAATCCCCTCTCAGTCTTCTCTTCTCCAGACTAAATAAGCCCAGTTCCTTCAGCCTCTCCTCATAAGTCATGTGCCCCAACTATGTTTGTTGCCCTCACTTGGCTCGTGGCGGGCCCAAAACTGAACACACTACACCAGATGTGGCCTCACCAGTCCTGAAAAGAAAGGAGTAATCGCCTCCCTTGATCTGCTGACAACACTCGTACTAATGCAGACCAGTATGCCATTAGCCTTCTTTGAAACAAGGGCACAGTGTTGGCTCATATCCAGCTTAGTGTGCACTATAATACTTAAGTCCTTTTCTGCAGAGCTGCTGCTTAGCCAGTCAGTCCCCCCAGCCTGTACTGATGCAAGAGATTGTTTCATCCTAAGTGCAGGACTTTGCACTTGTTCTTACTGAACCTCAGGAAATTTCTTTTGGTCCAATCCTCCAATTTGTTGAGGTCTCCCTGAATCCTAGCCCTACTGTCTGGTATATTTATTACCACCCCCAGTTTGGTGTCTTCTGCAAACTTGCTGAGGGTGCACTCTATCCCATCTTCTATCTTTTTCTTTTCTGGAAAAAAAGCCGTCAACACAAGCTGGATTGGAATTTCAGAATTCAAAAAAAAATGTTTTGGAAAAATTTATTTTCAGAATTTCACGTGTGTTGGGATTTCAAAATTTTGCATGGAACGTTTTTTATGTTTACATTATTTCATGTTGTCATTGGGAGTCCTGCTCAGTCTCATGCTTATTATAACAAAAAATGGGCGCTTCTACACATCACCCTACAGTGTGGTACAGCAACGTAGTGACCACGTGTGTACATGCAATCGCCAGCTACATCACCGTAGTGGTGCACTTCCCAAGTATAGCATGCTGCTATGGCAACATAGCAGTGAAATCTAACCATGTGCTGTGTGCACAGCGCAGTAACTGCCTATACTGTGCTGTGCTTTAGTACTTCCAAAAGGAAGTACTAAAAGCACAGTGCTGTAGCAGTGTTGCCATACAGCAACGTGTAGACATGCCTAATAAGAAACACTTTGATCTAGAAAAGATGTTTCAGTCATAACCAAGTAGCAGATACTGATAATGATTTAAAAAATAAAAATAGGTTTCAATATGGGGGACACATCCTCCTGGCCCCCCTGAACCTACTCCCTGGAGGCAGGGGCAATGGAGCGGACAGAACAGGAAGAGCAAGGCCAGCAGTGCTGGCTTCACCCCACCACCCCCCGCTCCTTGCAGGTGGTGACGATGGAGTGTAGGGGGGGTGGGGCGAGGCCACCAGAGCTGGCTTCACCCCTCCCTTACTCCTTGCAGGTAACGGCAGCATGGGGGGAGCAGGGTCAGGATGCTGTCGGGGGGCGAGGCCACTGGCTCTGACCTCAGCCTGCCCTTCCCCCCTTCTGTTATTGCCGCCTGTAGAGCCCAACTCAGCGGCAGCAGGAGGAATAGCCAGGCCACCGCAGCAGGGGGAGGAGTGGGCCCAGGCTGAAACCAGCAGGGGCAGGGGAATGGGAGAGGGGCTGATGCAGGGGTGAGGGGCGCGGATGGGGAAGGAGTGGGAATGGGCCTGATGCAGAAGATGAGGCCCACTCCTCCCCATGTCAGGCCAGCTCCCCCCTGTGGCGGCAGCAGTGGGGGAAGGGAAGGAGCGGGCCCCAAGGGTGGAGAGAAGCCAGGTCACCGTGGCAGGGGGAGCAGCAGGCCCAGGCCGACTCAGCAGTGGCGGGGGGATGGGAGGAATGGACTCTGAGCCGACGTGGGGCAGGTGGGGGTAGGGGAGGAGTGGGACTGGGCCTGAGTGGGGGAAGGAGGACTGAGCCCACGTTAGGGGAGAAGCTAGTCCAACACTGCAGCAGCTGGGGGAAGGGAGGAGCAGGCCTCCTTCCTCCCTCAGGCCCGGTCCCACTCCTCCACCACCCCACCTCTCCCCCCCACGTCAGCCCCAAGTCTGCTCCTCCTGTCCCCTGACTGCTGTTGGGTCAGCTTGAGCCCACTGCTCCCCCTGCCGCCGCAGTCCAGCTTCTCCCCAGCCTCGAGCCTGGTCCTCTCCCACATCAGGCCTGGGCCCACTCCTCCCTTTCCCCCACTGCCACTGCCGCAGGGGGGTATCGGGCCTGACGTGGGAGGTGGGGGAGCAGCAGGCCTCACCCGTGCATCGGCCCCTCCCCTGCTCCTCCTGTCCCTCCACCACCGCCAGTTTCAGCCTGGACCCGCTGCTTCCCCTCACCCCCCACTGTGGTGGCCTGGCTTCTCCCCAGCCTCGGACCTACTCCTCCACGCCGCTGTGGCAAGGAGCTGGGGGAGCAAGCCCAGACCCCAAGCAGCAGGAGGGAAGCAGGGAGTGGGGCGGGGGGGGCACAGGGCTCCATCCCCACCTGCTCCCCACCCCCATCATTCTTGATGGGCAATTGGCTAGTATAACATATCATTAGTACCAGCAGTGTATATTTCTTCATATGTTACATGAAACGAACAATGTAAAACTCAGACAAATAACACACAAAACACAATTTTTCAAAATCAAGTTTCTGAAGTGGATTTTTTCTTTAAAGCTATTGTCCAGGGCATTAAAAAAAGTCAATGATTTGGTCAAAAAAAATGGTTTTAGTGAAATGAAATAGCTTTCTTTGACAAAAAAGAGTTCCAGTTAAAATTTTTCAGCCCATCTGCCATATGCCAGATGCATCACTGGCTGATAGAAAACATTATAGATTTTTCAGGTTTTAAAGGAATTGATGCTACTCTGTAATGTCAGTGCCTTATGAACCATTCTGCTTTCTCATGCTCCAGAGCAGTTGCAAGCACTGACCACTTTTTGATCTCCAGAGCAAGAACCTAAGTGATGATGTATAAATGCTTACTATCCATGTATCAGACTGAAGATCTGCCAATAAATTTTTATTTTGGCAATGTGAGGGGTAATGCAAGTAAACCAATTTAAGGATATTAATCTGCATACATTAAATATTGCAAGAAAAATGTATGGGTATTCTCTCTCTGTCACTGAAGAACTTCCTTACTGTTTAGAATAATAATTATTGATCATGATAATTCATAAATTAGGCAAGCGGAATGTTGTTTGAAGACAAACTGGCTTAGCACACATATGGCTACTGCATAAAAAGACAGAAGCGAGGTTTCTTATTTTTTTTAATATTATGAAACATTTATCTGGCAGAGAATCTAGTATCAATTAGGCTTTGCCAAGTTAAGAGTCCTGTTAGTTTGAATGTGGATGTGGAACAATAGTGCCCTCTAATGGATGGACTGCAATATGTCAGACTTGCTCAAGTCTGATTGCCACACTGCCTATTGGCAAAATCCCTGTAATCCCTACATCGTAAGTTTTACTGTTAGTGAAACTGAGTAGATATTGCTCTTTAACTTGAGTGGTAAAAGTCTGCATCTTTAAACAGAAGGTTGAATTTTATTTTCTAGACTGCAGGTATTAACTGAACCTGCTGCTTTTGTCTGCTCTATCTGTTGTTGAAAATCTGTAAGCAGCAGGTAACAGCACAGCTGGTTAACTAACAGCTAATACAATTCATGTCTTTAGACGGACAGTTGCATACATCTCTCACTGTCTCCCTCACACACAAGTAGCTGTTCCTTTAATTTGAAAACACAACCTTCTGTCGGCAGGTTTAGGTGTCTCAGCTTTTATTTTGAGCTGGATCCAGTAAAGAGTTTCTTCATACCTGGCCTCACTTAGGCACCCGGGCTCCCTATACAGTGTATGGGGAGAGCCAGGTGCCTCAGAACAGGATCCAAAACAGCCAGCAGGTTGAGCAGGGAGCTGCTTAGAACAAGGAACCATTAAGGATTGGGAGTGTCTGAAATCCCACCCCTCACCAAAGATTAAGCACCTGTTTCAGGGTTCCAGTAAATTGCTCCTTTTAGTTCAAGATCCACAGCCTAGAGCCCTTTCCTGAGAACAGGCATCTACAACAATTCTTTCCATGAACTAAGCAGGGCTCATTCTCTTCTCCCGTGTCTTGTATTGACCTGCAGGGCATAAGTGTTGGTGGTTAGAACACTAATAATAGCCTGGGGGTTAGAGAACTTACTTAGGAAATGGTGGACTTGGGCTCAATAACCTTCTCAGCCTGAGGGAGCCCATCCAAATAAACGCATGTGTCTGCTGCAGCATCTCAAAGCAGTTTGAGATGCTGAAAGAGGTACATTGGGAACAGAAAAATGTTCCCTGGGCTGCATATTTGCATCATGGGCTCTAAATTTGATACCTGGAAATGCAGGTATCAAAAAAAAAACCCACCCTGCAAAAAAAGTGGTGCATGGGCACAACTGTGCCCTGAGGCAACCAGAGATTGAGTCCTCCAGAGAGATACTCTGACATGGGGATTGGCTCCTGCCATCACCCGCCCTAGCAGGGAAGGCCAGGGCCATTCACCGTGTACAAAACACGGGCAGGTCAGGCTGCTGTGTGCCTCATGGGGCTGAGCTGCAGCAGGCAGGGCATGGCTGGCTACTGCTGCCAGCAATAGGGGCTATGTGCCAGGGGGTGGGCATGTGGCAGTCCCCACCTAAAACCCCTATCACAATCCCTCCCCACATCCCCCCTATACCCACCCCGCTTCCCACCGTCCTCCTGCAAACCCCATATCCCCTCCCACATCTCATATCCTGTGCGCCCAGATACCAGACAGAAGGAAACCTGCTGGCTGGAGCTGTGGCTGCAGGGACAGGTGTCCCTACATCCTGGTTAGTGGAAGGGTCAGGGGGAGATCTGATTTTTCTATTATTTTCTATTATAAAAGAAAACAAAAGCAAACACCAAAGCATATAGATATTTAGGATGTATTTTGTTATGATGATAGAGACAGTGGTAGGCTTGAAAATCGTAAATATATCAATAAGACATTGCAGAAAGAGTCACTAGATAAAATACATGCATAGTAGAACTCTAGCTTCACATTCAAACAGGGAGATACTTGGTGGGGTTAGGCTGCAACTGAGCAAAGTTTTGGAGTAAGGCTCCTCAATTCCACCTAATCCTGCTTAAGCATCCAAGTCTGTTACTGACACTAGCTCTTTGTGGCAGCCTGTGGAAAGCACCAGCTCTCACTCACATCCACAAAGCTAGCACCTTGCCCTAAGAAGGTTAAAAACTACCTGAACATAGTAACTAAATGTGCATGTATGCTGTCTTTGAAATAGAACTGAAAACTTAAGAGCTTTAAGTTTGTGAGGGAATAAACTCTAGCTCTTGTAGATTTTTTGATTTGCAATCTTCACAGAAAAGTATAGAAACAAAAATTAAACCTGGGTTTAAATTGGTTTAAGCTGTTGTGAATTCAGGAATAAACATTTGAAATAAAACAACTGCCAATGCCTTCCATGTATGGGCAACTTTTTTGGAGAGGTATTTATGAGTATTTGAATAAAATTCTCCTGCACAGAAAAGATCCTTTGGCAGTTAATAGAATCCAACTACTATTAGTTTGATCTAACACTGCTGAAATATGGAAATGTGTCTGTATTATTCTTGCATATGCCATTTGCTTCATTCGGATCTCTTAGATTTCAGAAGAGATTTACTTCAGGCTAAATAGGTGGTGCTAACATTTAAATGGTCATAAAGATGATATTACAGATGCTTATTAAAATTACTCTCCTTGAACCACATAAAATGCTTTAAGCAAGAGAATGGTTTAGTGTTAAGTGATAGCAACTCTCAGTCAAATTCCCTGCAGTCTCTCCTGAGCATACATTCAGTTAGTCCAGTGACTATGCAGAAAATGCCTCAGAGTAGGGTCTCATTCCAGTTCATAACAGCACATATTCTTAAACCCATGCTATTTTCTTAAAAAAACACAATGGACTTGCCCAGACATGCAGACATGGACGTTTCGTTCCACAGGGACAACTAGCAGCGGCGTACCCTGTGCCTCAGCTTCTTGTCCCTGGGGAACGCCCATGCTTTGGCACGCAGCAGGTTACCCCAGTGGCAGTAGGGGAGCCTTACTTGGGGGCCTCCTGGGGCTGTAGCCATGGTGATCCTGCCAGGCAGAGCCTGGCTGGCAGCCACAGCATGGGTCCAGGCATCCCAGCTCTGCTTTTCAGTAGCACACAGTGCCCTATTTTTTTTTCCATGGTGTTTTTTTGACCCCTGGATATCCCCTGGAAACCACAGAGAGAAAACCCAGAGTAGCATGCACTTGGGCAGCACACCCTTACAGCGTGGAGAACACTGGATTGTGCGGTATGTGGCACCATAAACGTGTTTGCAGCACCGCATACTGCATGACCACGTTCATCTGGATGCCCAGTGTGTTCAAGTGAGACAGTGGCAAAAGCTACCAGTCAAAGTAGTACCAGAGTATTAGAAGAAAGGATATTTAAGTCAGCATCACCACAAACTCTCATCCATTTGGGGGGTTCATTTCAAAGGTCTGGTGATAAAGGTATGTACCATGTATTTTAATGAGATATTTAAAATTTCTTTTTCTTTTTTTTAAATCCCACTCATTTAAATTGTTACAGCTGGAAAGGCAGTTGTCCTGAGCATGACAGAATTTTACATGTATTTATGTGACACTTCTTTTCTCCAGTAGAAGATCAGATGTTCCGTTCTGTGGAGGGCCAGGCTGCCTCTGATGAGGAGGAGGAGAAGTGGACAGGGGAGCAGCCATCTCAGGTGGCTGAAGTGAAGAAGCTACTGACCAGACTTCCTTGTTGTGGCAGTGGGTATGTCTGAGAGATCAGTGTTACTTATCCCTTTCTCCCACTGAGAATGTTACTCGATGATCTAAAAAGATGTACAAAGTACCATGGGCTCAGCAACAGGCTATGGAACCATGGCCCCGGCACACATTACGCTTAAAGACGTGATTAACCAGTTAATCACATCTTAAGTTATTCCCCAGACACACATTAATGCAATTAATGGCATAGTAAAACAAGGAATAAGCCACAAAGTTATTAGAAAAAAATGTGTAATAACTTCATGGCTGTTTCCTATTACACCATTAATTGAACATGTAGCCCAGCTGGGGCCCACAGCTGTGAGGGCACATCATACACTCCTGTGGCTGGGAGTCCTGTCAGCTGATCCAGACTCTCAGTTGTGGGGGCACCCCCGCTGCTCCCAGCTATATGAGTTTTCTACTTGCCAGTGCAGGGCATGCCTATGATCATAATCCTGGTCTGCCCCTGCACTAGCAGTAAGGCGTGATAGGATCTGATACTCGATCCCACAATTACATCTCCTGCCATGAACATGTGGCATGGGAGGAAATGTGATTGTGGGGATTGCGCATCAGATCTCATGGCACCTTTACTTGCACATCTGCTAGGCATGTATTTCACTGAAATAAAAGATAAGATACCCCTCTGCTTGCACTATCTAGTCATAGGAGAAAGGTAGATCCTAGCACATATCAGAGGGGACAGTGAATTTGAGTAAGTGGGGCTTAGAAAGAAAATAAAAAGCAAGCCAAAGTCTGTATGGCAGGGGGAAGCCTGTCTTATCACCCACATGCTGCTTGAGTCGTTATCATTAAGTGTTTAGTCCCGTCTTTAATTGTTCTTGCAGTAAAAAAATTAAAAACACACTGCACAGACTAAGTATGCTGATTAGGATTCCTAATGGGAAAATTACCCCCTTCTCTCAAGAAAAAGGATCTGCCTGCTTAGAATCTACCTTTCCAGCACAATCGTGCATACATTGAATGGGTTTTAGAATGTGCACTGAAGGTCTTGTGGCTGTGGCTTTGTCAGACCAGGGTGTAGGGACAGACCTGTTTTAGGACTGAGGACCGTCCACTTAAGACACCTACCTTGTCTCTTTTCAGTTATACAAATTTAGAAACTGGTAGCTGAGGCACCTCAGCTTGTGTGTAAGAGGAAGTGGAACATTTTTACATAGCCAGGATCCAAACCATAAATTTAAGTCAGTGCCAGTGCTTTGAATTTATGTCCTATGAGATACTGTGTTTCTGGGAGTTTTGCAGAAAAACAGCCATACCTCGTATGCATATTGATCCTGGCTAGGCAGTTTTATTTACTAACTCCTTTTTATTTATTTTCTTAAACACAGATGTGATGACAAAATGCTGAAGAAGTTGATGTCTTATTTTGGAGATGCCAATAATGATTGTCATGAGAATGCCACTGTAGAACTGGTAGAGAGAACTGTAAAATTGACTGAGCAGCCTGAGCATAAAGGAAATGACGTGAAAACATTGGAAACTAATGTGGAAGAGGTAATAAGTGTTACATAGTGTGAGAGAGGTTATTTGTATTGATTTCTAAGCAGCAGTATGGATCTCTCATTTGCTTGCACTTGCTGATTTCTCACCATAACATCATTATAACAGGGACTTTCAGGTATTCACCATTCTGAAGTTCCTTCAGGGAAATCTTCCAGCTTACTTTAAAACTAAAGAAACTTTGTCCATGGACAGGCATTCATTTATACTGGTAAGAATTTCATTGCAATTCTTACTAGTAGAAAAGTAGCTCAGGAGCTGGAGCATACATGTATTCTGGTCCTCTGACTAGAGAGCTACAAAGACAAGCTCTTCAGAGAGGGGGCACTAGAAGGCTACACCCTGCCCTCCTCCCCCATATCTCCCACCCTTAGGGGAACCCATTAATTGGTGGACTGTCTTCTCCTCTGCCTGGCAATTAGCAGGAAGGGTTCCAGCCCCAGGAGAGTGCCTCCCCCCACCCCCATCAATCAATAGTTGACTGGCATTGGAGGGGGAAGGGTCCTTTCTCCTATGGTGGGAGCTCTCCCACAGAAAATAGCCACCACTCCTTGAACGCCTCTGGGCAGATCCAGAGGAGTGCAAGGAAACAGGGACATTCTGTCTTTGTGGAAAAACTTCCAAGCCTGCCACTGCAGCATGGCAGCCTGTCTTATCCTGCACTGCCCTGGACTGACTCATCCTGTCTTGTCCTGTGTAACATGGTACCTGCTGCCTTTTGGTAATGTTAGAGGAAATTACCATGGAGTTGTTCCAGTGCTACTAAAAAGACAGGATGCTGTGAAAAACATCCTTGAAGTGGAAGAATGTGTACCTATTGATTGTGAATGTAGAGAACTGATGGGTACCCACTGAAAAGTTTAAATGCACCTCTAGTTAGCTGGGTGTCAAACTAGTGTCTGGTATGTGGCATATCAGGAGGTGAGTGTAATGGGGGCACTGATCAGAGAGGCTAGATATTAGGGAAGTATCCCAGATAATTTTAGGAAAGTGCAGTTGAACAAATAAAGAACTTTTTTTTTCTTTTGCATTCTTTATGATTAAAAGTCAACCTTTCTTCCCTTCAAATGGAATCCTAAAAATCTCAGTTAAAATTGCATGGGGTCAAACTATATTTGGGTCAGTATAGTGCTGTTGCATGGGAAGATGACTATGTACAGTACCCTTCAGAGCTGCACTGGCTGCACTACAAGGGTACTGTGCAGGGTCATCTGTTCCATTATGGCAGGCTCATGCAGGCCAGAGATACAATAGCTGAGTAACCCAGCTTTCCATTCCCCTTGGAGTTCTCCCTGGCCTTTTCCACTCAAGTGGGAGGCAGCATTAAACCTTGATCATGGAAGTAGGAGTTCAGAAGCTAAGAGTCTTGGTCAAGTTGAGACTTCCAAACCCCTGGCTCCACTGAAGGCTAGTAGAAAATCTTCAGATACTAGCTCTGTACAGTCAGTGCACTAAGTTACAACTTGAACTGCAGAGCCAGGAAACAGCTCACAAGATGGGCTCTGTTCTGTTGGACATTGTGATAGGACTAGGCCCCTGGTGGCCACATGGCTCCTGCCCCACTCTGACTTCGAGTACGCCCCCTTTCCTCTCGCCTGCCACGCTTTGATGGAATTATTTAATTGTAAGAAAAAGGAGGCTGCCCTAGGGTCCCAGAGTGAGCCCTGGTCTATTCTTTGGCCAGCAGGTCCCTCTTGGATCCAGTTGATCTCAGTCCTGCTCCTCAAGCACTGAGTGGGGCTCTCCCAGCCCTGTCTGGACCCCAGGGCACTAGTTGCCTTAAAGGGCCATTTGTGGCCTCCTTCTGCCCCTACAGCCATGCCTATTCTTCACAGATGTTACTCTGTCCACAGTTGAGTGCTCTATTTATAGAGACCTCAGCCCTCTTGGCTTTAGCTCCCCTTTACTCTGGCTGCAGGCTTCCAGACCCAGCCCACAGATTTGGGCCCAGCTGTCTTGGCCTCAGCCCTCTCTGCATCTCCAAGTCCCTCAACCCTGTGCATTGTCCTAGCCCCTCTGGTGTCCCTGACCCTGGACAAGGCTGTACTCAGTTCAGGTCAGCCCCCATGGCATCCCTGAGCTGGGGTCAGGCTGTTTTCTGCTGAGTGCCCCTGCAGCACCCTTATCCAGTCCTCCAGTAAAACCCAAAACAAAAATTCAAGCATCCACTTGAAACTCAAAGTCCCCATCTCCACAATTGGGTCAGCATACCACTGCAAGGCTACCTTCCGACTTTGTGGCTCTCCCCACCCTGGCAGTACCTGCCATGGCCTGCAGCTTCCACTCCTCACCAGCCTGGGCTGGCAGGAGCTCCTTTCCCCAGCAGAATTCAGGACTACAGTGGCCTCTGTGCCTCGGGAGCCCAGGCTTATATCCCATGGCTCCTCCCCTTCTTGTCAGGTGCTCCCCTGACACCCATAGGTGTGCCTCTTCTGCTTCCAGGGCAGCTTACTGCCAGTGCCATTGCCACCTAATCAGGGTCTACCCTACTCTCCCATTGCTAAGCAGCCAGCCCCACAGTAGGCACTTGCAGCCTGTGGGCCGCTGGCTGCCTACACCCCTGCAGCTATGCCGTAGTGTACTGTTTTCGCCACCTGGGGACATCCCTACTGTGGCTCCTTATTTAAAGTAACAGGAGCCCCTGGCTCCCCATTACAGACCGTAGCCTGTGTTTCATTGGAGTCAAGTCAAAATCAATAGTGAAGATGCTAGAAATTAGCATTTTCTAGCAAAACAAAACAAAATTACCAAACAATTTGCATATATTTTCTCCCTCCTCGTGTCCCTCAAAAATTGGGAAGAAATTGAAGTTTAAACTCCAAAATCCAGGAGTGTTTGAAGGTAGGTGTGGCAGGACGGAGCCTGGGGGTCCGTGACCTCCCCTGGTGCCCCTACCTTCTGTGCCAAATCAGGTCTTGAACACATCCTCTATCTCGCCCGCCATGTCTTGCTGGTATATCATTAATGGGAGGCTGCCTTCCTGCCCTCCTTGGCACAGTGCCCACCTTGCTGTACCAGGGCTCTGTCCAACTGCCCGCCTGCTTGCTCTCATGGGTGCCCCCTCGCTTCTCTCACGGCCCTTGCCGCACCGGGGCCTTGACAAGCTCGCCCCCCCTCCCAGGGCTCCTCGACAAGCTCACCCCCCTCCCGGGGCTCCTCCTGTACAGACACTGCCCCACTGGGGCCTGTCCCTCCGTGCTTATGCTTTTGCCCCAACTGGGGCCTGTCTCACACCTCTCATGCTCCCCGCCCGCACTCGGGCCTTGCTCACGCTTCTCGCCCTCGGGGCTCAGGCGGCCTCGGCCTTACCTGGCCCCAGACCCCTTCTTCAGGTCCTACGCCCACTGGGCTTCTCCCAATTGGGGCTCAGGCGGCCTCAGCCTTACCTGGCCCCCAGACCCCTCTCCTGGGTCTCACGCCCCACTGGGGCTCCTCCCAATAATCACCCACACTGGGGCCGGGGTCGGGACACCCTGTTTGAGGCCTCCTCCACCCCTACAGCCTCGCCCAGTCCTCTGGTCCTCCTGATAATCACCCACACTGGGGCCAGGGTCGGGACACCCTGTTTGAGGCCTCCTCCAACCCCTACAGCCTCACTCAGTCCTCCGGTTACACAACCAAAACCATAAGCACAAAACCCCTGAGCTATAACATAAATTCACAGCCAACCTGGCTTGTTTCCCTATACATCCCCATCAGGGTTTTTTTGAGCTCCTACCTCCTTGGCAGCCAAAGGGGGACTGGGCTCTGGCCTTGGCCTATGCTGTTTATAAAGGCCAGGCCCTGCCCCCTTCCAGTCAGCTGACCAGACCGGTTGTCACGGCAACCCGCACCTGTGCTGCCCTGGTGATTGGCAGCTGAGCTCTTAACACTGCCTCCAGTAGCAGGCACCTTAGTGTCCTGCTACAGTAGGGTTTTTGCTTTATATATCATAGAAGGGTTGAATCCAGAAGTGCAATGCAGATCCCTTGCAATAAGGGCCTGTCTTTGTTTAAACCTGTGGAATGTTTTCATTGGTCCTACAAATATTTGTTTTGATATGCATTGCCAGGGAATTTTAAGCTAAAGGCAAAAGGGTAATAAGACTTTGGTAAAAATATCTTTGGTACAGAGGATGTTTCTTTCTTTACATTAGCATTTTAGTGCATTTAACTCTTTTGGCCCTTTCCTTGGTTATTTGATTTTTCTGTTGGATTTTGTAAGGGCAATAGCAGTTCAAGGACTTATTAGCAGTTATCAGCCTGTATTCAGGGAATGAGTTTTTCCTAAAGCTGAATCTGAAAATGTTGGGTCTACTAAATGTGGAGTCTACTTATATGTTGGGTCACCAGAACAATATCGTATTACCCT